CCAATCAAAAGGGGGGATCAGATAACTCCTCCCATTGTTATAAAGTATAAACGCAGAGACACACGCTGTGTTCAGTCTCTTTCCTCTGGCTGGCTCACGTGCAGGTAAATTCGGGATCCCAAAGATAACTGTATTGAATTTGTACTGTATTGAATTTGTACTGTATTGAATTTGTACTGTATTGATTGTATTGCATTGTCATATTACCATTAAAGTAGATTATTGTTTAACGGTTACTTGGTAGCTCTGGATTCCTTCCTGTATTATAACCAGCTTGATAGGGACGCGCTGAGATTTGAAAAGCGGATCAGTTATCCCTTTAAATCCCCAACATAAGTTACGCTGACAGGTCCACACACTGCTTCCCTGCAGCGAGGCTCCGAGCCCCGCCCTCCTGTTAACAGTTCACGAGTGTCAAGCTCTTCACCCCCCCCCCTGATAATTCCCGATCGTGGGCACGCTGATAAAATAAAAACGTTTGAATGGCACTTCATATCAAAAAGGTTGCCGACCCCTGGTCTAGTCAAATACTATACTGGACTTGTGAAAAATACTGGAAATAAGAATTTATTTTAGGAAGGATTGCTCTACTTATTAGCGTGTTAACTGAGTTGATCTTAACATCATATATTTATTGTAGTGCCTTTTTCTTTTGAAATATTGTATTCTTATTTTTCGACGTATATATAAATATGTTTATATATATATTTTTTTTAAATATGTTTTAATTTTTGGGACGGTGGGAAACAGCATGTCGGTCTCCCTGTTTGTACAACACTCAGTGATGTTGATAATAAAGTTGACTTTGACTTGACTGTGGACTTGTACTCTACATAATTACGTTGAGCCCAGTGTAATGTAATTAAATAAACAATAAATGCTATGAATAGATTGCATTTCTGGCTCGTATTATGATGGGATATGGTTTAATTTAGTAAATGGTTGTGTGTTGAAAAATGTATATCTTTATAAATTGTCTTGGTGTATGATCCCATTTGTATATGATGATGTCTGAAGTTAATACAAACAAATTCTCAGTGTTCAAGTCAATCACTGAAAAGGGTGACAATATCATAAGAGTCCAACAGTGCATATATTGGTTTGAGGGTTTAAAAAAATCAAAGTGTTAATGATTGTCAGTAGAGCCCCACAACATTAAAGGTAGGGTAGGTTGGAGAAACCAGCTCGAGTGTGCTAGAATTTGAAAGTACGCAGCCGAAAAAGATCTGCCCCTTCCTTACAGAGCCCCTCCTCCAACACACACGAACGCGCACATGACCAATGAGGGCACGAGATAAGTTTGTGCACATGGAAGACTGACAGGCAGGTAGGCCATCCAGTTACTTTAGCCGGGCCAGCTCAGATGATTGGTCATGCTTTTTACAGTACTACGGCTTCCACAGATGCATTTTTTTATGGATTTTTTGTCAAAGCACTTCAGATATTCATTGCTATCGGGATGTTAAGAGCATTCCATGGAATATAACAAAAAGTGTTTCTGAAGTGAATTACCTACCCCACCTTTAATGTCCATCACAAAGGGGAGTGGGGAAAGCCAGGTAGGAGGCCCTCTGATATTGGGATGCCAGAAGGTGCTATAAATATTTATAAATATATATATATATATATATGACTCTTGCAGAGAAATTCCAAAGCTGGGAAAGACTGCGCAATAATTGTCATATGAGAAAAATACTGATCTAATAACAGAGTTTTGATCTTATTTTCTTTTTTTTAATGAAAAATCTTTTAATTAATTTCCCTTTTCCAGGAATCTGAAAATAGAAAATTTGACCAGACTAATACAATTCTAATTTTAAATGGACATTTCACAGTTAAAGGTGGGGTAGGTCATTTTGGAGAAACCAGCTCGAGTGCGCTAGAATTTGAAAATACACATCCGAAGAAAATCTGCCACTTCCTTACAGAGCCCCTCCTCCAACACACACGAACGCGCACATGACCAATGAGGGCACGAGATAAGTTTGTGCACAGATGGAAGGTGCCGGCTAAAATGATTGGTCGTGCTTTTTACAGTACTACGGCTTCCACAGATGACATGTTTTTATGGATTTTAGGGAAATTACTTTTCATAAAAAAAGTTGATGCAAATAAGTGCATCGGGAAGACATGCAAATCGGGTAGTCACAGTGACTACCCGATTTGCATGTCATCCCGATTTGCACTGCGCAAGTGCGAGTTGGTCTGCCATATTGGACAGCTACGTACGGCAATCCAAACAGGGCATTTGACATCCGTACTGATCTAATAACAGAGTTTTGTTCTTGAATCAACTTTTTTTATGAAAAGTCATTTCCGTTTTCCAGGAATCTCAACAGAAAAAGTTTGGCCAGACTAATACATTTCTAATGATAAATAAATTAAAACAATTCACAGTTAAGAATTAGATATTAATTATGAATGCCATAAATGATTGCATACATTTAGAGTTTCTTATTTCTCCAGTGTTAAGGCTGTCAAACAGAAGTTAAATCCATTTCTCACTCTTTCTAAGAATGTACTTAACCCACTTAAAGATCAAATGCAAAGCTTCCAAATATGCTACATTTTTATAGAAATGTTGTTTTTAAGACTGCTTGTATTTAAAAAAAAATGTAATCGAGATAATACACCCGAAGAAAAGCTTTTTATTGATACAAAACTTGACCCAAAGCCGTCTGAATTTCTGACATGACCTCCCCAGCAGCCTCCGCGCGCGTGACGTCATTCATGCCAAACAGTCTGGACCAAACATCCCGACTCGGCAGTCTCGGTCACAAGTTTTTCGAAAAGAAAACTAAATTAACATGGGTTATTGTTGTGCTTTTTGTTGTACGAACGGTGCGGGATCTGGGAGAGTTTTTCATGTATTTCCCAAAGACCAAATCATCCGCAAAAAAATGGATTTTGTTAGTGAATCGTGTTGGCTGGCAACCGACAAAATGGAGCAGGTTGTGTTCTGATCACTTCACGTGTGATGCATACGAGGTTGATCCTGCTATCATCAAGTCTGTTGGTGCAGAAGCACTAATAGTATGTCGGAGGCTGAAACCCGGAGCCGTCCCCTCCATATTTCAGCACAAGAAACCACTGAAAGAACGAAAGAGCCGGGCGATGGAGAAACGACAAATAATTGAGGTAAACAACTTTTGATTAGATTTCAAAGCGCACGGAGCACAGCAGATAACGCAGATAACGGAATTGCAGTTTTATTAAGTTGTATGGCTTATAGAGGTGGGCACCGTTAGATTATGTGTCTTTACGATCATAAACAATGTGTTGGATGTGGAGCTAGGATAAGTAATAAGGGAACTAGGAGTGATTTTCTGTGCAGTAATAGGTTAGCATTTTTTGCTCGGGGCTAATTCACTGTTAGCATTGTAGTTTGTCTGCAGCTCATTCATCGCTCCTCCACTCATAACGGAAAAGTGTGAACAATATGCATTATGATAGGGATTAAATCCACTATTATTCCTCCTGCCACAATTAAAAATGCCCCCCGTGCAATTAAAAGTGACTGTGAGCACTTAGAAAACCCAACATTCTTCTAACCACTTCATTAGGCCATTGCATCAAAAAAGCCCTCCGCTATGCTTTCATTTCTTTCAGCCGAGTGGGTGCTTATAGAGGTGGGCTAAACCTCTCTAAAAAGGTCAAACGTCACTTGTTTTGCATCAATCTTGATACAGGGTACTTATTATATGTTATAGTTTGTATTCCTAAAGCTTTTAGTCTATAGTCTACTCAGAATCAGACATGATAGACGAAACTAGTTGTACTATCGGCGGAAGCCGCTGTGATTGATAAGCCAGGTGGAAATATGTTTGGCACATCTGACGTCACGCACCGCCATCTTGCGGAGGAGCGGCTGAGAAAATAAATCGTCGGACTTGGTGTTGGGGGTTGAACAAAATTAATATTGCGCATTGCCAGACTCATATTATCTCCGATTTTAATACTGCAATATCTTAGATAGTGTTGTAGCCATATGATTTTGATTGTACTGGCAATTATACAAAAAGCTTTGCATTTGATCTTTAAAGGATTTCTTCTCAAATAATCGGGAAATTATTTTGTAAAAACAATAACTCATCTCTCTCATTCAGATTAATTGGTAGGTTTTTTTTTTTCTTCTTTGCGAAATGCCAATGTGTCAAAAGTTCTACTTGGGTTGCTGTACGTAGCTAGTGTTATTGGTCCAATATGGCGGACCAACTCACGCTTGCGCAGTGCAAATCGGGCAGACATGCAAATCGGGTAGTCACAACCACTAGCAGCAGTCACAGTCACTTCCGTTTCATGACAATGACTTCTGTTACAGCAAGAATCCCCCTCTCACACACACACACACACACACACACACACACACACACACACACACACACACACACACACACACACACACACACACACACACACACACACACACACACACACACACACACACACACACACACACACACACACACACACACACACACACAGGTGAAACACATGTACATTCCCTACTGAGAACCTTTTCAGTTAAATGTTTTCCGGAGTGTGTGTGTGTGAGGTGTTCATTAGTCAACACACATTTCAGTAGTATGTGTGTGAGGTTCATTTTCAGTTGTGTGTGTGTGAGGTTTAATTTTCAGTTGTGTGTGTGTGAGGTGCGGTAGTTAATGTGATAGTATTTTAATAGTGTGTGTACAAGGCCAGATGTTTTCAGTTGTGTGTGTGTGTGTGTGTGTGTGTGTGTGTGTGTGTGTGTGTGTGTGTGTGTGTGTGTGTGTGTGTGTGTGGGTGTGTGTGTGTGTGTGTGTGTGTGAGAGGTTAGTTTGAATTTTGGCCTAAACGGCCCTTCATAGAGAAGTTGTCTCTTTACGGCTCCAACACAACAACTAACGAACTGGGTGAAGATGACAATTATTAAGAGGAATTAGTGACATGATAAATTGTAGGGTTGGGGTATTTTAAAGGATGGTACAAAATAAAATCACAATAAAAAGCCGTGTTACCTTAAGCGAGGCACGTGAATAGGGCGGGATCCCACCATTGTACTTCCCTGAGATGATTCCACTGGCCAGTGGAGACCATGTCATAGCTCCAATGCCTGCATGCCCAAAACAGGCATTGTTATGGATCAAAGTACATACAGAAAATATGTGCTATGTTGTTCAATTACTTGTTTGTCAGCGGTTTATTCCAGTTTTACAATATGGGGGACTAGGAGGCTATAGCCCTGTTCAAACTAATACAGTTATTAGTCTCACAAAGAATCTAATGGCCTAAACAGAAAGATTATCAAATCGACAATGGCAATTGCATACCTATCTTGTGGAAGAGTTCAGGGAGTTGCACTTCTACCTTCTCCCTCTGGAACATGTGATACTCTGTCTGTTCGCAGATGGGTGGTATCTGGTTAAACTGTCGAGCCACGGAGTATGCCTCCTACAACAAAGAGGGAACAATTTCAGAATGGAAAAAAATGTGTTGTGTTTCATCAAAGGCTTCACAGGTCCAGTAATCCAAACATGGAATACCTACCCAAAAGCCAATTACCCTATAGCATTGTAAAAATAGAAACCCTAAACTCTAGGATACACGGATGAAGGGAAATGTAAATTCTATACACCCTAACAGAACCTGGCATCACTTGAACTTTAGGCTGAATCATTTGAACCTGAATCCCATTTACAATACGTTTTTGTGTTTGAACTCACCATAATCTCCATGGAGGTCCATCGTGATGTCCCCCAATACATGGCCATCCCCTTGTTGATCACATGAGTCATTGCCCTCACAGTCTCTACCAAAACAGCACAAAAATACATACACAACATTTACCAAGTAAAATATTTGACTTCCCCGCAGCAACTAATCCGGCACACATGAAGGTTCTCAAACACAATTATAATTATTACACAAATTAAAATTATCCAAGGAACAGCCTGTGGCAGCGGGGTGTGGTTAGAGCACCGGCTGCTGGAGTGATGGGAGTGGCTCGGCCGGAGACCAGACAGCTGATCAGAATCCGGTAATTAGGCTCAGTATAAAGCATGCCGGTAACCTGATTCTGGTCTCTTACAATAGACTGGGTCCTGGAAGGACTTTTCTGGCCGCAGAACGAGCGAGCAGGACAACACCGCACCGCACCGCGTCTGCGTTCTCCGTTGTGACATTATTATTTGGTTCAATAAAAAAAACCTGAACTCTTCCCCTGACTCCTTCCCCTTCTGTCCCTTTTAACCTGGAAGTGAGCGGAGGTGCTCACACAGCCAAAGGTGAATTTCAGCCCGAAGAGCACAACCAGGCAAATAATTGATTGATTACATTTGCTGACATTTGGTGCAAAATGTGCTAATTTCTATGCAAATGGATCTAGTTAGAAGAACTATGATAACATATTGTAACCATAGTTCTATAAACACAGGCACACAGCCCTTTAATGGACTCTTTGGGAAACACTCTTCAGCAGTCACACACAAGCATTCACCCATTGAAATTTGCATCATGTAACGTAACTGCTGGTACTGTGCATTTTAGTAGCTCCGGACTGTACCTGCACAAGCTTCAGGAGAACCTTGTATGTTTGAATGAAATGAGGTTAAAATGTTAACATAGGTTCAGGAGCATGGCCACGCCTAAAACTCCACCTCGAACCACGGCCACCCCTATTTATATCCGGCAAAACTTCAGGCCACTGCTCGTCTCCATCCTTTCAACCCACCCTCCCTCTCTACCCATACAGTTCCCCTTCCGACTCACACCGAGCGATACATCCATCCATCCATCCCTTCTTCCCTCCCTCCCCTCAACATCCCTCCATCCCCACATCCCTACATCCCTCCATCCCTCATCCCTACATCCCTTCATCCAGGGGCGGACTGGCCATCTGTAGAATCTGGAAAACCACAGAACGGCCGGTGGACAAGGGCCGTTGACGGCCGGCCCTTTAATTTTTTTTGTTTAACGTCATAATTTAAGTTGCGCTTCCGGCCGACAGAGGGCGACAGCGGCCGCTAATGCAGTTGTGTGTTTCTTATCTGTCAAAAAATCACACACGAAGAAGAAAAAAGACCGGCCACACAGACGCCGCGGCAGACAGGGAGAATGACAAAAAATGGATACAAATAAAAGAAAAAGAAAAGAAAAAGGTGGGGCCGAGAAGGCAAGAGAAAAAAAGGTGAAGTCACTCGCAGGTAATGCTAATAAATGTCGCAAATTGACAGACCTTTTTGGCAGCAGCGCCGCTGCTACAACTACAAGCACTATCATCACCAGCAGCAGCTTAGAACAAGTGCATGATGAAGAGAATGATGAGGGCGCGATTTCATATATACAGCCAGCCTCCTGCGTTCATGAGGGACAGAGAGTTGAGCTGGTGGAAGAACCAGCTCAACTGGCACATGCAAGTGCAGGGCAAGAGCAAGAGGTGGTAAGTACTATAGAGAAGACAAGTATATTCAACCTAGTGTTTCCAGTTAGTGTGTGGTGTGTTGCTCATGCAAGCAATACAATAAATACAACTGAGAGTAGGTGTAATAGACTATATTAAAAAAAAGTATAGATTAAACAAAAGTGTATTACTTGTCAACATTTAAGTATTAATTCAAGTAGTAGCCTATAGTATTATAAAAATAATTAACATTATTTTTATCATTAATTTATAATTGTCTATAGGTTGAGGATGGAACAAGGACTGAGGATGACAGCCACTCACACGGCAGCTCAAGCCTGAGGTATTTCCAACGCCCAAATTCCGACAATCACAGTCTCAATAGTTTTTTTTCCTATCACCCTCAGACCAAAACAAAATATTTGACAGTACAAAGACTGTTTAAACGCATGAACGGCACAGATATAAAATGGCTCACATACTGTGAAGAGAACCACACATTGTATTGTGGAGTATGTTTAGCATTTGCCAAGCCATCTGAAAACAATCCCTTTGTAAGTGGCATGCAGGACTGGAACCATATCAGTCAGAGAGTAGAGGAACACGAAAGGACCATCATGCATAGAATGTGTGCGGAGGCCTACTTTTTGAGGGCATCCAAATCAGACATAGCCAGCCTACTACATGGATCACAAGTAGTGGCCCACAGAGATCAAGTGAAGAAGAAACGGCAGGTGTTGGAACGTGTGGTAGATGTAGTAAAGTTCATAGGAAAGAGAGGACTTGGCTACAGAGGGAAGGAATATGAGGCAGTATACACTCTAGATGATGACAACATTGACCATGGGAATTTTCTAGAGCTCATCATTCTTCTTGGAAAATATGATGTGTGTCTGAAAGAACATATCACTGAGTGCACAGAAAAAAGTAAGAAGATGCACCAGTCACACTCACAGGCTAAAGGTCGGGGTTCTGCTGTAACATTCCTATCCAAAACAACTGTAAACAACGTCATTTCCACAGTGCAGAGGCTAATTCAGGAGACCATTGCAAAAGAGGTTGCTGAAAGCGGTATGTTTTCTGTACAAATAGATACAACCCAGGACATTACGTCCCATGAGCAGTGTTCTGTGATTCTGAGATACGTCACAGACACTGTCCAGGAAAGGCTTCTTGCAGTGGTCAAATGTGAAGCATCCACTGGCCAATATTTTGTCCAGATGCTGACAGATGTAATGGATCGTTTTAATTTGGATATCAGCAACTGAATCAGTAATGCTACAGATGGTGCATCCAACATGCAGGGTCAATATCGAGGCTTCTCCGCACTCCTGTCATCCAAAGTCCCAAACCATGTACATGTTTGGTGCTATGCACATGTGCTAAACCTCGTTCTGTCTGATACAACTGAAGTGTCCATAGCTAGTGGGTCCCTTTTCTCCCTCATGAATGACATTGCTGTGTTCATTCGCGAGTCATACAAAAGAATGAATGTGTGGGAGCATAAAAGCCAGGACACTCGACACAGACGCCTCTCCCCAATTGGAGAGACACGGTGGTGGGCTAAAGATGTAGCCTTGAAGAAGATCTTTGGCTCATTTGGAAAGCCAGACGAGTCTCTGTACATTGATGTCTTCATGACACTAAGTGAATTTCAAAGTCAGGCCAATTTGAAAACTGCAGTGCGTGTCAGAGCAAGAGGATTCCTAGAGGCGCTCCTGAGGTACGAGACAGTGTTGACTGCCCAGCTTTTCCTTCGGATTTTTGAAATGACAACACCTCTTTCAAAATACTTGCAGACATGTGGACTAGATATCCTCTCTGCTCACAGGATGGTTCAGGACACTCAACATGCACTGATGAACATGACAAGAGATTTCATGACAGTGAAGACAGCTGCTGATACTTTTGTTGAGTGGGCAAATGCAAAACTGGAGGCAGAAGAGGACTGTGAGCTTGAGTTGGAAACAACACTTCCACTGAAGAGGAACAGGAAAAGGAAGATGATGGCTGGCGAAATGGCAAGTGATGAGAGATTGACAGATGCAAACAGGGCTTATGAAGTAGAGGTCCATAACCAGGTCCTGGATACTGTCACAGACAGTATCAAACGACGCTTCATGACCCACGGCACTCTGTATGCTGACTTGGCTGTCCTTGATCCAAGAAACTTTCCCCAAGTGTGTTCAGCAGAAGCTCTGCCTGACTCTACATTTCAAGATCTAAGCAAATGCTTGCTTAGGTTTGACAGCAGGGCAACTGCTGCAAATTTGCAGTCTGAGTTGAAGTGTCTGGCAGCCCAGTGGCCACGGCTTAAAATGTCTGCACTTGAAGAGTACAGAGTACGAATTTGCTCTGGTTGTGAGGAAGAAGAGACAGAGGTTTTAAACAAACAGTGCAACTCTTGTAAAGAATGCTCAATATGTTGCTACCAACTTCTGAAACGCTACAACCTCTTCACAGATGCCTATCAGCTCCTTGGTTTAGGAGACAAGTTTCTTCTCACTCTGCCTGTGACACAGGTAGCTTGTGAGAGAAGTTTCTCTGTACTCAAGCACATCAAAAGCCGAATAAGGAGCACACAGTCACAAGAACACCTGGAAGCATTCATGCTTATGTCAACAAAAAAAGACATCCTCATGTCCCTCGACAATGACTTGGTCATCGACAGAGTTGCAGAAAAAAGCAACTTACTAAAGAAACTGCTGATTCCCCAACATTAGGTTTACAAACCGCCTCAGACAATCTTGTTTATTTCTTTTAGGTGAGAATTATCCCTTAAACTGCAGCCTAATAAACAGCTGATTTGTGTGTGTGTACTGTTATATGATGTCCCATGTGTTAAGACATCTGAGGAGTGTCCTCCCTATTGTCTTTAGGGGAGAATTATCCGTTGAACCGCATAATACACAGCTGATTTATAATAACTAATAGTACTGTATTATTTTATCTGATCTCTGATCTCCACCACCAGACCCCCCCCCCCCCCCCCCGTTGACATGACATGTGGCCGGACTGGGTCATATTCCAGGGCTGAATTTTAGTCCCAGTCCGCCCCTGCCTTCATCCCTCATCCCTCCATCCCTTCATCCCTCACCCTGACCTCGCCGTCCACCGCGAAGCATACCAGGACCATGTAAAGGTCTACAAAGAAGCCCTCTCCCTGGCTAGGTCTTCCTACTACTCCACCCTCATTGGCATCCAACAATCCCAACCGAGAATGCTGTTCACAACCATAAACCGGCTTCTCCGCCCCCTTGATCCCCCCCATCCCCCAGGTGCTCTTGATCTCTGCTCGAAGTTTCTGGATTTCTTCCAGGCAAAAGTTGATTCCATCCACCAGCAGCTTCTGGTGCCTGGCCCCCCACCTACTTCAACCGCACCCCAGCCACAAGGTATTACTCGTCCAC